TGACCTTAATGCCTGTTTAGTGAACTTGTTTTTCTAAAAGAAGCTTTTTCTTGTCAAAATCTAGATAGAGGCAAGTGTTTCTGAGGAGTAAACCTTCAATATGAGATAATTATATGCATGATATTGACTCCCTCGTACTGAATTTCTGTGGTCAAATGAATATGTCCTTGGAGTATGTAGATCAGTAGAAACTAATTAGTTTAAAATTATATATATATATATATATATATATATATATGCTAGGAAGATTCTAGAATGAGAATTTGTGACAAATTGAAAAGAGCAGAAGATTTAATTTCAAATCTTTTCTGTAACATCTCTCTGAGACTGAATTCATATTAGCTGATCTCAGTATTACTCTTTATTTTCCAGTCAGGTATTTATTATTCTTCTGCTGTTTCAAAGATATTTCCATAGTTTCTTAATAAAACAATCATGCACATTTATAAAAATGAATATGATGGATACTGTCATTTTATTAGAAAATAATAGCAAATATAGTTTTGAAAAACAAATATATTAAGGAACTTCTATACCTCATTTTCATGAAAGATGAGAAAAATACTTGTTCCACCAGACATAGGAAGCTGATATGACAATTTTTGAAAATGTAATCTGCCTAAATGAAAGAAAGCATATGAACCATTCATTATTGTTTAGGAGGAAAAACTTCAGGCCTCATCCCTTCATTTGTTGTTACATTAATCCAGATTTGTCACACTGACAGCAGTTTATTCAGAGATCATGAAAGATATTTGAAGTCCCCAAAATATATTGATACATACAATTTTAGCCCCTTTGTATCTTATCAGTCTTTTCCTTGCATACATTTGCTTTTGCTTCTATTATTGTGGAATAGTTTGTGGTTGATGCCTAATCTATGTGCAAACATTCACATAAAATTATTAACCTGGACCATCTTCAGTTTATGTTTTGTGAAAACATTATCAAGGAACATAGCTGTCTTTTGGCTTTCACATTTTCTTTCTTTTAACTTTCCTGTATCTTAAGTGTTAGAAGAACATAATTGTGTTTAGTCCATAGGCTTAGTGACCAAAAAAAATTTTATATTTGGTTTAGCTTTCTTAACTGTACATTTGTGATATAGCACATATTCATTATAGCATTTACTTTCACATCCTCAGAACACATGAATATTAGGATTGCTACATTTAAGATATTGTAAGTTTACTATTTATGCACCCTTGTACAAATTAATAAATCCCATGGTTTCCTTTGTATTATATTATATAGGAAAATGTAGCATAGCATAGCATAGAATAGAATAGAATATTTCTGTTGGAAGGGACCTACAGTGATCACATAGTTAACTGCCTGACCCATCCATGGCTGACTAAATGTTAAAGCATATTATTAAGGGCATTGTCCAAATGCCTCTTAAACACTGACAGACTTGGGGCATTAATCATCTCTCAGGAAACCTGTTCCAGTGACGACCAACCTCTCTGTAAACAAATACTTCCTAATGTAAAATCTAGTGTTTACTATAAACCTAGGGACTTTGTCTGTATTGCTAGTTTTCGTATGCTAAATTTTTTCACTTTTAGTCTCATTACTTCTCCCTGAAACTAGTTCAATTAATTTGTGATGAGGGCTCTTTTTACCATTCTGTATCTCTTTCTACTTTATCTTTTCCCTTCTCCTTTTTTTTTTTTTTTTTTTTTTTTTTTTTTCTCTTTCATGGTATTGATATTTGGATATTTTATGCTAACACATATCCAGGAATTTGGGCAGAACCAAACATGATGTGTACTGCCATCTGAAATGTGCCAGAGGTTTTCAGGGCACAACAGTCAGCTTAAAATTATGAATTGTGCTAAGGCTTAAATAATGTAAACTGGATTTTATCCGGTTTTGCCTAGAACTTCATTGAACATCAGTGTGACTCATAGTATCCACAAGTTTTCTCATTCATGATAAGCCCCTGGAGGACACCTCATAGTCTGGCTGATTCAGGCAGCTAGCTGTAATTAAATTGAAATATATTTTTTAAAGTCCTTTAATTTCTTCAGCTGTAATATATAGAATTTGTGTTAGAACAGAAAATAATGAAATACCCAGTCTTCCACAGCAATTCATAGTCTCCTCAATTTAGGTTGTTCTACAGTTTAATAAGAGAATCAAACTTTCCAGATACAAGAAATTTTACCAACTTCCCCATGGACTACAAGTACTCAAGTTAGAGATAAATGACAGATGAAGTCATCCTTCACTCTGAAAAGTCCATGATTGTTAATAGCACAAATCTTACTACTCTTATAGTGATCTTTCTGCATTGCCACATAGCTTTTGTGTATATATTAAAGGTGATGTTCTAATTTGCAATACAGAAGATTTGAGTACCATTTAACCCACTCACAATTCCTAATAACCGTATTTCTACAATTTTAAAGTAAATAAATTTAATATAATACACCTGGAGGACAAAGAATAATAATAAAATATAAGCAAATAAATTAAAAAACAAAACAAAACAAAACAAAACCCAACCAAACAAAAAAAGAACCACAAACACACCAAACAAAAAAAGACAAATCAATCCTTAACTTCAAATTTAAAATCACAGGTTCTGGATTGGCCACTTCTATTCAAGAGTGAAATTTTGGGTCTACAAAATAGGAATTTCTGGAATAGTCTGTTCAAGATCTGTAGTAGTCAAAAAGACATAACCAAAATTTACAAGTTATTAGAAAAGACAACAAAGCAGAGCACATCATTATATCACCACAAAAGTTCACAGTTTACCATGTGTGCAGTTCTGCTTCTTTCACAAAAAGAATCCAACAAAACTGAAATATTCTGAAAAAGACAATAAGGGTGATAAAAGATATGAATCTTCTTTCATATGAGCAATAATTAATTAAATGAGGGTTTCTCAGTCTAGAAAACAGACAACTAATGGACAATATGACTGAAGTCTAGAGTATTATAAGGAACTTGGTATGGCAGGGCTCCAGTTATTCATTTTCTCTTTCAATAGAAGATTTAGCAGGCACTGAAAGAAAGAAATTAATTAAACAAATTGACTTAAAACAAATGAAACAACAGGAGCTGGGACTGAAGCAAACAGAGGGAGGTAAAACTTCATATGCAGCAAGTCATAGGCCGAATTGGTTGTGAAACCATATTTTGGATGAAACAAATTTACATGAGTTCAAATGAAGATTGAACTAGTTCATGGAAGATAAGGCTCTTGAGAATTATAAAATGCACAGAAAAGACATTCACCTCACAATGTCCTTTATCTGAAAGTTGGACATTGGGGGAATATTAAGGGGAATTACTAAAGATCTGAAAATATATTTTTCTCCCTAGACTGACTAATGGAGACTTGGATGTGGAGATGACTTGGAGATGGAGATGAGTTAGAGACATATTTTATCTAGGCTAGATAACCTCCCTATTCATTTCTTTTAATAGGCAGGTTTATTGTCTGTTAGGTCATCAGCCATGTAAAATAAGAGTTCTGGATCACCAGTTGAAATACTGCAGTGTGTAATGTCTTTCTTTGGTCCTGAATAGGTTTATTTCATGACTGATGCCTGAAATCAGGAGCAGGAGTCTGCTGTCTACATTGTACAAGCAGTTAATATTTTGTGTTATCTGCAAAAGGCTGACAGATTGACAAAGGACATTCATGCATTCTTCAGCAGCCATTGAAGGCCAGATGAAATATCTGTGATTCTTTAAAAGGAATATAGCTACCTGTGTTTTGGCAACTGCAAAACAGTTTGCATAAGTTTGTGTCTGTGAGGGAGACATCTTTTCACAGTCGCTGGCCTGCTTCCTGGCCTTCGGCCACTTCTGTGAAAATGTCTGGCTCTCCCAGGTAGATGGAAGATTTTAGATGACATCTGAAAATCTACCAGACTGTATAGATATGCTGCCATATGCAATTAAAACCTGCTCTAATTTGGTAGTCAGCAGAATATAGGGGTCAGCATCTAGAGGTAGTACTCAATTGCCTAAACATAAACACTGAGAGTTTGTCTGAATTCTGATGCCTTAGGGTATCTGAGATGTCTCCATAGGTCTGGCAGATATGGCACAAAACCTTCATAAGCGTTGCACTCTTCTGGCTTGACATCAGTGATATCACAGAATCATTCAAGCGGGAGAAAACCTCAGGGGGTCTTTAGTCCAACCTCCTGCTCACAGCTGGATCAGCTATGAGGTTAGGCCAGGTTGATTAGTCCAATGGGAGCTTGAAAACTTACAGGGTGATTTTTCACTATCTCAAAAACCAATGGATATGTACATACGGGCAAGTGAATCAAACACAACATTTGCAACTTGTAGCCTTCTTCCTTGAAAACATAATATTTTTTTTCAGCTGTATGCACTGAGCATCTGTTTTGGTAACTACTGATTATAGTTGTGATGCCAATTGTAAAGATAGTTACATTATTTGGATTATTAATCCTTAATTTTGCTAATCATATAGCAAAACAATAGATTCAAAACTTGCACAAGCAATTTCTCCTGGGTTTTGTTTGGGTTTGGTTTGGTTTACATTGTGGTTTTTTGCTGTTAGAGAATTTTTGTTTTGGTTTGGTTTTAGAAATAAGGGATGGTCCTGGAAAGTATTACTGTAGAATGTTGTTATGCTATATGACTGCACATTCAAGGTGCTTGCAAAGAGATGTGTTCTGGATCCTTTCACTGTTAGGTTGGAAACCATTAAAAATAAGTCAAGCTGTAGCCTGCAAAAGAATACTTAATTTTCTTCAGTGTTTTCAGTAAGAGTAATAAGATTGATCTTATGGTATGGTGAAACAGTGATCTAAAAGTTGCTTAGTCTTTTAAAAATCAACTAAATGTTTACTGTCCCTCCTCCAAGAAAAATATCCCTGCAAACCCCTCTAATCCAATGAAGTGGTTCAGTTACAACATCTACTTTGTGATCTTCTCTCAATGTATGGTATTGTTTTTTTCTAGAAATTTCTAGCATTTTTGATTCATGATCATGTCATTCACAGATATTGGCTGACCTAGAAAACCATGCACTTTTTAAGGATGACCTAGAATGCCAGAAGCTTATTCTGGAAGCCATGAAATACCATCTTTTACCAGAGAGAAGAACTCTTATGCAAAGTCCAAGAACTAAACCTAGAAAATCTACAGTTGGAACACTTTATGCTGTTGGAGGAATGGATAACAACAAAGGTATTAGAGGATATTTGTTACTTTATAAAAGTTACATTTTGCATTTTCTTTATTAGAAAATAGTGAAATAACTTTCTATTCCAAGATTGGGGTGGGAGTGTCTGAATCAGTCAAGAAATGCTGCCAAAACTTTTAATCCAGTGAAAATCTACTGATATTTATGGAAACATATAATACTATTAGAGAAAAGAAACTGAGTTTTGAGTTCATTCTTTATTCAAAATTATTATAATTTCCAGAAAGATTTTAACAAAAAAATCTAGTGACATTCATTTACCTTAGTTTTAGCTTTCTAGAAACTATGTTTCATTTATAAGTCAAATATGTATGCACCTTTTCTGATCAATGAAAAAAGGCAGTTCGATATGCATTGTATTCCATCCTTAAGCAGTTGTTTGAAATATTATGGATGACTCATTGTATTCTGATGCAGAAATGTATCAGTCTTCTAGAGAAAAAAAGCATAGACAACTATCTTAAACTAGATTACTACTTCATCTACAGCTAAAGGAAGGTGAAATTATCCACATCTTACTGTGAAGAGAAATAGGAAGCACTGGGAATTTTATTAAAGTATTTTAGGTTTTTTGGGGGGGAATAAGAATTATGATGATGTGCTTTTATCATTACTTCTGGTAAGAAGTCTAATCTAAGTCTAAGTCTATTATTTTCTTTTTAATTCACTAACAGTTACACAGTATCTCACATTTTCATGTCCATATTTAGGCTGAAGAAGATGCCTTCAGAAACATTAGTTCTAATATAAACTACTTTAAAAAAAAAAAAAAAGTATAAAATTAGATCTTCAGTATTTCATGACTGTTTCCGAATATAGTTATTGCAGTTGTTTCACTAAATAGCTGTGGCAGTATCATCTGCAAAAAGACATTGCATGTTTTTCCCATAAAGTTACATCAGTGAGAAAGATGTATGATATCTGTGCTTGTGTGAAAAAGGAATGTTGAGAGTATAGGAAGATGATGAGGAAAGAACCAATGTGTAGATCTTCTTCTTATAGATGTGGATTATTTTTGTCCTTTTAACATTTATAAATGTTTGTGTAGCTAAATGTTAGGCATGAATTTGCAGAAAACACTGCCTTTGGATCATAAAATACCTAAAATACAAATTTCCTCTTTCTTAAGACAAATGACAACAAACACTTTAAGTATTCATGTAGTGGAAATGACCATAAAGCCAATTTAGGTGCAGCTGTGTTTGTTTTAGTTTACTGTTCAGATCTGTTCCTCTTTATAGCAAACCAAATATAGAAATATTAAGGGTGACAGCATGGAGTGTAGCATCATTGCATCAACACAGCCTGGTTTTGCAGATTCAGGTCAGGCAGAAGTAGTTTATTTTTGTAGCAGCAGGAGACTGCGCAGCACCAGGTAGGTTCATCCCTCTGTTGATGTGAACTCTGACTGAAAACAAAAGTACCAGGGTTTATACACATTTACAGCAGATAAAAACTGCTTTGATAGGGGGTCTGGTATGGCAGAGCATCATGTGCATAGTAGGAGCCATTGTTACAGCCAATGTAATGTGTATTTCTGATAACTTGGGCTCTGCAGCCATGCAGCCTGGACTTGCACTCATGTAGCCTTGACTTGCATCTGCTCAGATCACCCCTCTTGTGATGCTGCTGTGTCCTTGACTAGATTTTATGCCCAGTGAGTCTTGCTTCCACATGTCAGTTCAGGACACTAGAGTGCTGTTTGCATGTTTTGAAAAGTTACTGAGTTCATAAAGTATGCCTCAATATTTGGGCCATGAGATTATGCCAAGACTGTCTTTCCTCAATAATTAATAATTTATTTTTTCCTCACAATTTTCTCCACTGAAATGCTGACATGGGTGACTGTGATTCACAAGGATGTATTTTTAATGCCTCCTGATGTTTGCTAGCAAATATGAAAGAGTTACATATAAGAACTAGATGAGCTAAGAACATTAACAATTTATTAGCTAGCATATAAAACAGTGGGTAAGCACTAGTATTATGAAAGCTTGTGAAGGTTATGTGGCCCATCACATAAAAAGTGGCCTAGCATGCTAAATCAAGTTTGTTTTGAAATCTATTTTATAGTTATCTTCCTTTGCATTAAAAAAAAAAAAAAAAAAAAAAAAAA